GTTGTGGAGTCTCCTTCTCTGGAGATCTTCAAAACCCGCTTGGACGCAGCCCTGTGCCACGTGCTCTAGGTGACCCTGCATGTGCAGGGGGTTGGACTAGATGATTTCTAGAGGTCCCTTCCAACCCTAAGCATTCTATGATTCTATGACCTGCTGGCAGCTGCAGGGACACCAACCCCGCGGCTCTCCGGGAGCTCGGAGGAGTCGGGAACACGGGCGAACGCGTCCCCCGCGCGGCGCGGGCGCTACTCACGGTGTTGGTGATGTCGTAGACCACGATGGCAGCCTGGGCGCCTCTGTAGTACATGGGCGCCAGGCTGTGGTACCGCTCCTGGCCCGCCGTGTCCCAGATTTCAAACTTCACCGTCGTGTCGTCCAGGCAGACGGTCTGCGTTAGGAAAGCAGCTGGAAGAGAAGGGCTGCGTTGGTCTCCGCTTGGCTCTGGGAGCCAACGGGAGCGCCAGGCAGAGCAGTGCCAGGTGCTGGGAGACTCACAGCTCTGCTCCATCAAGCTGCTGCATGCAGGATCCACAGTCACAGAGCACCAAACCATCAAGAGGGCCCTGGCAGCCCCGTTCAGATATTGATTTGGACAGCAGCGTGGCTGCAGAGCCCTATCCCTCCCCAAGAACCACCAGGAGAATCTTATTCAGCACAGGGGCAACATCTCCAGGACTTCTCCTTAGTCAGTCTAGCTACATTGCTCTCCCATTTAGCAACTGGTTTCTTTCTTGTTTCCGTAAGTACATAATGCCATGGGTTACAGCAAGAACAAACACAAGCAACCCTGGATACAGAATGGAGTAACAGCGACCGCACGATCCTCTGCAGAAGGGCCCTCAACCCTGCTTGCCCACAAGCTACACCCACAGCTATATTTAATTCCTACATGGGTTACTAAACCAAGCCTCTGCTCAGCACTTGCTGCTTATTACTGACAGGAGCTGAGGGTGCTGACAGACCTTTGGTAGGCAGCACTGCGCTAATGATTTAAAGTTTAAAAGTACAAGAGCTGGAAGAGCTGCAGGAGTAGTTTACAGTAGCGGGCGAAAAAACAACTCTGAAATCTCAGGTCTTGGTCTGAAACACAATTAAGAGATAACCGAGTCGAAGGCCGTGGTTCTAATTGGAAGCAGATATTCAAGGACGAAGCGGAGGAGCCTCAGAGGCAGAGCACTTACCGTTGCCATAGCACTATCCTCTAGTGCACGGATTTTCACACTAACAAGCAAATCGTAAACACAGAATTAAAGCAGCAGCTGTTTGCCTATTTGGCTGCATTGCATCTTCACAGCTGGGCGTTTGGACCTGACACTCACCTCCAATCGTGCTCTCCTGGTACTCGTGGAACTGTCCCTTCACGAAGCGCAGGACCAGGCTGGACTTCCCCACGGCCGACTCGCCCAAGAGAACAAGCTTAAACTGGCAGATTTTGTTTCCAGCAGCGGGTCCGTTCGGTCGAGCGGCTCCACCTCGACCTGCCATCGCGGGCGAAGGGCAGGAGGGCCGAGAGCGCGAGGAAGCCACAGGCTCTGAGCTCAGCTGGAGGCAGGTTCCACCTGGAAAGGAGGTGGCAGTTAGTGACATGCTCCTGGACCAGCACAGGCCACTAGTTTTAACCCAGTACCACGGGCACAGGTAGGGGCCAGCCCCTTCCCACCAGAAGAAGCCCTTGCCATCAGATGCGGGCACCACAGCAGCAACAGCTCGTGCATCTTGAGGTATCTGACTGTCCTCAGAGTGAAGACATTAATCACAAACCTTCCTGCCCACCAAGGGCTCCCTGGCACTGCCACCACCCACGAGGACCGCAGACCCCACGTTAGGATGAGGCAGGTGGCACTGGCTGGTGGTGGCGTGGCAGGGAGCAGCTGCTCAGGCCATGGAGGCTATGGAAGTTATCTCTGACTTCAATTTGTTCTTCTAAAATTATGTGGTTAATCTAGGAGATTATAAATGCAACACAGATGCTCACGAGGCCTCAAGTCCCCTGTATAAACCATTTAGGGAAATCAGTACTGTGAGGCAGTTCATATCACATTTGGAGCGTTTCTATACTCAGCCCATTTAAAGGTCTTTAAAGAAGCCTTCGGGCTGTGCATCCTCAAGATGACACCTGAATTGCTGTGCAAGAAGCACAGCAGAGGGGAATCAAGATACCTGCTCCATGGGACTCGTTACGTGTCCACAGACTGAAAGAAACTGCTCCCCACCACTGCAGCAAGTGGAGGGCTCCCCCTCACATCCAGGAGGGCACGAGGTGACATCCCCACCTCTGCAAGTCCCTGCGTGTCACCCAGGGCTGCCAGGACACCCCTCTGCTTCCTCATAGCAGGTTTCAAGGCACCAGAAGAGCCTGCAGCCCCAGTGAAGCTTTGGGGCCATGCATGGAGCTGCCACAGCAGCAGGGGGACAGGCTGTGGGACACCCACAACTTCACCATGAACAAGGCCTCGGTGCTCCCCGATCAATTAACTCAATTAGGGAGTTATCTGCATGCAGCTGACGGATGCTTTCTCAGGGCAGAGTGGCAGAGGCACATTCCCTGTCCCCAGCACAGCCCATTGTCCCTGCTAATGCCACAGCTGGTCACTTCTGCTGTCACCACTTTCCTCCAGCTCCCATAAACCAACCTTGATGCTCAAGCTGAGGCCAGGGCTCCTCCAAACAAGGCTCCGACCTGCCTCAATAGAGATCTTGCAGAGAGCAATTAAACTTGGACTAAATCAGAGCTAGGGCTGAGCTCGCTCTGTTGCCAGCAATATTGTAAAACAGAGCCTAGACAGGAGGGCATCATTTGCCACCCAACATTTGCTGAATGACTGGAAAGCTGGACATCGTGTGACAGATCACCTGGAGCTCGAGGGAAGCCTTAAGCTCTGCCTTATTGCAAGTACCCGTTAAGTCCATGTGTGCAGGATGCTGTGCTAGACCATTAATGCATTTGCTTTTGTGAACTGTTGCGTTTTATCACCACGTTGCCCGAGAAGCACCATTCCGTGGGGCTATAAAAGGATTAGGAAGCCCGACGGGGTCGTTAGGCAGATGGCAGCTCATCGGGAACGGAGGCGGCAGCTCCGGGACGCGGAGGCAGCTCCCACGGCGGCATCAGCAGCCGGGGAAAAGGGGAGCCCGGAGCGGCAGCAGCGCCAGGGACATCCTGGAAGCCACCAAGCACCATGAGAGCCCAACAGGGAGCAAGTTCACAGGTTGCTTCGGGCCACGAGGACGCAGCGTTTTCATCGCGGCCAGGAGCAGCTCGGTCCAAGGGGCACCTCGGAGCCCTGCATCCGCTTCCCCCTTCCAGGGTTTCTCCTCCAATGGAGGCATCAAGGTAACGACGGCTGCTGCTTGTTTAACCCTGTGCTTGTGGCTGCCCCACACCAACACGCAACACATGGTGCCAGATGAATCACGGCCCCCTGGAACAGGATGGGGGCGATTCCCAGAGCAGAACAAGGGAACCAGCCTGCTGACACCCTCCAGTCTCCATGCGATCGGTATTCCAGACCTCAGGACTTCACCAGCTGGTTGTGCTACGCTAATCCAGTTTTTAGCAAGTCTGGAGAGCTTCTGACCAGAGAAACGGTCAAGTCTGCGACTGCTTCATCATGGAGAGTCTGCCCAGCACCTAAACACAACCCAAAGCCTGGTACAGGGTTGCAAGGCCTCATGAAGAGCTGCCCGATCATTAGGCTGTTTAGGGGGGGGTTCACATAGTTCAGGTGACCTTAACTGCAGCTATCAGGCTAGGAAGGAGCACTGCAACCAGCTCCAACAGGTTAGCACCTCTGCTACATCTGTGTGAAGATCAAGAGGCTGCTAACGCTGCAAAGAGCAAGAGCTCCCATCGCAGGCTGATCCTCGTGGTGCTTTTCACTGATGCTGACCCCTCTGAGGATCTCTGCAGGAGCTGGAATCATGTGCACGAGCAGAAGACTAGAAGTTGTGAACTCCTGAAGCAGCCCAGCACCCATTCACGCCAAGACGAAGGGGAGGTTTCCATGCCTGGTGCTGCCCAGTGAGCGGGAGCTGGAGGCTTCTCATTCCTGTGATTTAGCTGCTCAGCACCTCTCCTGTCTGCCCATGCTCCTTGTAGAGGCTTCTAAGGTTCCGTGGATGTCAATGGAAGTTGCTGTTTTAAGATATCACTGCAGACTTGAACCTGGTATTTTTGCCCTATGCTCCCTCGGCAGCGAGGACTGCCCCGAAAGCTCGGAAATTCCGTCCTGAGGAATCCTGTTATCCGGCAGGACTGCTCCTGCTCTCAGCCAGGCGAGAAATCACATTTCAGTGGGGATTTGCTGGCTCAGAGTCAAGATACTCAAGACAAAAGCCCCAGTGAAATATTTATCTTGTTAAATAGCTGACAGTTACATGAATTCCTTGGCAAAGCAGCCCTGGAGGTGCGAGCGGTTCCGCTTCGTGGAGCGGGCGGCCGGCGCAGGTCAAGGGCCGGATTCACAGCAACTTCCATGACCAGGATCAGCAGCGAGTTCAGGAGCTGCTGGAACTAACAGAGCCTTTGCTGGCCCAGATTAGCTCAGCATTTGGTACCGAATCTGGCTTGCTAACACATTATTACTACTCTCTCGGATAAGGGAGAAGCTTTTTTAGAGACCTAAATAAGCGCAGACAAGCACAGAATGGGTACTGAGCAAGGAGCTAAACTGAACATCTGACCTCACCAGCCAGGACTGAACTTTAAGAAAATTGCCCCGAATTCAGAGCACTGTTATAGCCAAAACCACTGCCCTTTAACTGAGCTTGCCAGGTGACAGTAGCTCCAATGAGGCAAACGAGCCCTCGCTTCGTTAGGGAGCGACGGAGCCGGGATCTCTGCACAACTGAGCCAAAAAGCACAATCTTTCGGCCAAAGGAAGCGATCGAGCTGACTGAGCACCTAAAAGTGAAGTAGTCAGGGAGCCTCCAGCCTTCCCTCGTAACAGGGGTTTCTAGGAAGAGCTTGTCCTTATTCGTCACCCAGGCCACTTTCACAACCTCTATCCAGTAACAAAAAGCCAGTCAGCAGCTCCGACCTCGATCACGTCCTTTTGCTCAAGCCACCGACACGCCAGTAGGATACATTAAACACACTGAAGGGACAAGGGCATGTGAGCAAGCTCAAACTGGGTTTAAACTCCCTGGAGAATCTCAAAGGCTCAGGTGCAAGTTCCAGTATCTCTGGCTGGGTGCAGGGAGTGATTCCATGAAGCCAGAGCAAGAGCAGGAAAGCACCAAGCCTCCGTGCTGCCACGGAGCCCTTCCAGCCAGCACAGCCCCACGCACGGCCCCGTCATCAAGGGGTTTAGCAGCCACCAGAGCTTCTCAACAGGTCTCAAAGCATCAAGAAGTTGCTCTCCCTGGCTCCTTCTGGCAGCTACAGGTTCCTGTATTGGAGACAGTTGAACAAGCATCAGCAGCCAGAGTTGCTCTCAGTTTGGTCACGCTGGCACTACAGGGAAGTCCCCTGTCCAATGCAGTGGGGGCCTTAATTCTGCAGAAGGGCATGAGTAATTGCTTTCAAAACTGCAGCGAGGGCTCTCTTAGATCACCAGAGGCTTCTGCCTGTTCCTGGCATGTCAGGAGAGTGACAGGGATAATATTAGAAGGCAGGCGAACCTGTGCCACCCAACCCAGCAGCTCTGCTTACCCGAGAGCTGGTGAACTCGGTCACGGGAGCCATAAACACGGGCTCCCAGTCCTGCTTTGGGCAGGTTTTATTTAGGGGACTGGCAGAATGTGCTGCAAAAGGAGCAAAAGAGCGAGAAGTGCCAATTCTCCACCGCATACTGAGGTCGGAAAGGCAGTATGGGCGTCTGTGGAACGGTTTGACACCCTTCTCACTGCAAACAGGCTCCTCGATAGGTGTGTGGAGCTGAGCACGTCCTCCTGGATCCCACCCCTGTATCCAGGCAGTCCCATCCCTGCATTAGAGCCTCTTGCAGATCCTCCCTCCTGTTATTACTCTCTGCAATGCCAGAGCTTAGTCCCGTTTCACAGGAGCTGCAGGACAGTCTGAGGAAGTTATTCACAAACACAGTCTGAAACAGCTAAAAACTGAACAGAGCAGGCAAGTTTTTAATCCCGTAGGAAAGGTTCTCATGCCTCCCACTTCCAGTGCTGTCCACCGCTCACCACCCTCCTGGCAGACTCCTGCTTTCAGCCAGGAACACAAACCTTTAGATGACACCCCCTGTCCTGTGAACAGGACAACAAGCTCATTAGCAGAGCAAGGCAGAAAACTGTTATCTCCCCTGCAAAAGAGTCAGTGACCTTCATAATATCTTTTGCAGACTGCACAAAGACCTATCGCCTCCAGCAGTTCCTTATTTGGAGCCCAACTGAATAAAAGCAAACACGAAAAGCAGTGTTTTCTTATCTGCTTGTGTAGAACTATTCCAGGAGCTTGTTCCTGTGCTCCAGAGGAAGAAAGCGTGTTCCTTGGAGGACTTTATTCCTCCCTAGCGTTGTCACTAGGACGAGGCTCTTTCTGGCTAGCCCTTGCACAGCTTTACTCCCAGGACTTAGCAGAACTTGCACAAGACGGCTCC